GGAAGGGAGAAGAGCTGTTTCATTGGCAGTCCTAGAGATAGAACGGTGGCAATGACACACAAGGATAGCAAAAATGGCATCTAATTGTGTGACTTTGCCCAAACCACAGTCTCCAGGACCTAATTTACTCATATTTTCAATGAGGGGGATGTAGTTTATCTACAAGATCTGTCTTAGTCAGTTTGAACTACTGTAATAAAATACCACAGACTGGGGACTTAAACAACAAACATTTATTTCTTACAGTTCTAAAAACTGGGAAGTCCTAGGTCAAGGTACTGGCAAATTCAGTGTCTGGTGAGGGCTCTCTTCTTAGTTTGCCGATGACCGTCTTCTCATGATGTCCTCCCATGGCTTTTCCTTGGTGTATGCACAACAGAGAAAGAGAGAGAAAACTCATATTTCTTCCATTTATTATAACGGTGTTAATCACATCATGAGGTCCCCACCCTTATGACTGAATATTAATATAACGCGCCCAACGGTCCCACCTCCAAATACTGTCCCAGTAGGGACTAGGGTTTCAACATAGGAATTTTGGGGAGATAGATACATTTCATTCATAGTAAGGTCTCTTAGTTGGTCATCATTCTATGACTAGGAGAGGCTGCCTTACATTGAAAATTTAGCACGAGTAGGACTGTCGTTCTCAAGGTTTGCTTATAGACGAATTTGAGCTCCAATCTCATCTCTGATTCTTAGAGTTTCATGATGTTGAACAAGTTGTTAAATCTCTCTAGGTCTCAATTTCCTCAACCATGAAATTGTTCAGTAATAGTATCTACTTCTAGAGTTGTCATCCAGATTAAATGAAAATTGTGTATGTAAAGCATGCAGCACAGTGCTTGGCTATCAAGATAGAGCCTTGATAAAAACTGGGCTTTTAAATTATGAAAAATAACCAAACTTATTAGAACAAAAGCTGAGACTGATGATACTATAAATGAAATGATTTTACTAGTGGCTTTGGTCGTTAATATCAAAATTTGTTTATATTTGACCATAAATTTTAGAAGTCTCTGTTAATTATAACATACCACGTGTCTATATTGAAATGAACATTGACACGTGGAGGGTGTGTGTGTGTGTGTGTGTGTGTGTGTGTGTGTGTGTGTGTGCATGTGTGTGAACACATATACCTGACAGTCTTCCCCATCATTTCCCTGGGTAATTAGCTCATTTTCTACCATTACATAAGAATTTCAACTAACACACCACTTGGGATATATTTTACCTACATAAACACTGTGTTTTTATTTCAATGACACCAGAAACTATTTAACCCTGCTTTGTTTTTAAAGATTATTTCCTAACAAAAATGTCCTTTTGCACATCAATAAGTGGGTACTCCAATTAAATATTACTGGCAAGGAAATGATAAAAAGCAAGCAANTAAAAAGCAAGCAACCAACCAACCAAACACACACACACACACACACACACACACACACACACACCCCTCAACTCTTAAAAGCCCAAATTCCCATGAATCACACCTTGCTGACATTTATTCCATTAATAATGTAAGCAAGTATCCTAAAATATTTAGTACATTAGATTTTGTAGAAATTATTGATTGTCCCTTCAGGTTTAGTGACTCAGATGAAAAAGTAAATCTAAGCCTGTTCTCATGACCTGAAATGTCAAGGTGACAAATTATTTTCAAGGCTTAACTTGTATTACTCAGAGAGTGATTGCAAAGTGTGCTTCTCAGTCATGGAACAAGAGACCAAACAAACATCAATAAGAAAGGATGGTTGCATGATTTTTGATAACTGGGTTTTCAACACATGAACTAGAATTGAATGGATTCTTACCCCTGGATTTAGTAGTCATATCTTCTTATAGCCACTAGTACAAAAGGCATTTGCTGTAATTCCAGAACATTTAAAGAAGAAAGGGGGGAAATGTACATTACAGAGTGGACAGCCTCGGGGGTGGAATGAAGATCCTCATATTTCAGTAAAATTTCAGCTTCTAGGGGAAAGGAGTTATTTTGAATGCTCATGGGGAATAAAACACAATCTCAGCATCGCTTGAAATACAATTAAGAGGCAGCACATGAAGCTGGAAATTCAAGAGGACTGTGTTCTTCATGAAAACCTCAAGTAGTTCTCTTTAAATTAGGTTCAAAATGTGCTATAAAGATCGGTGGGATTTATTTCTGCACACTGGGTGGATTTATGTATTTAGAAAAGGACTACCAGGAATATATGCCCAGAAAGTGACTTTAAGCTCTAGGAAATGATCTGATTTCTGGCCTTTCAAAGGAAATCAATAAAAAAGAGAATAGGATTCTGTAAAATGAGTGGTTTTCCCTGGTGAAGCTGTCCCCCCATCACTGCACTTACCTACAATGAACCTGTCACAAGCTGTAATGGTTCTGTGATTAGTATGAATGAATGTTCCTCACCACGTAGAGTTACTATTGATTTTTTAATTAATAATATCTGGTGTTTATATAGTTACCATCTTCGAGGAAACCTGAGTGCTTTATAGTTGGTGAATTCCAATTTATCTTCATACAATCCTGCTGAATGTATGGATTAGGTATTCCAACTGCATTTTTGCATTTTAAGGAAGAAAAATAGAACCAGAAAGTTAAATCTTTGGCCATGGGGATTTCAGAAAACTAATAATATAATCATCAAAATCTGGTAGTAGACTTCTAATTGTGGCTATTTCCCAAAATCATCTCATCAGTTGGGCCAAGTCTGATTACTCCTTAGGAAAAAGAAATTGATCATAACAATTATTTGAAATTGCTGTGATTAACAGATGTTTACACTTCTTCTTATTAATTGAGCTGAAGACATTTTTGTTTATTAGCCCATAGCATTTTTAGTGGCCTGTGACAATATCTTGAATGCTGTTAAGTCACACATATCTGAAGTGGATCTCCTGGTAAGGGAGTGATATGAAACTTAAATTGTGCTGTTAGGGACGTGTGATTTTCCAAGGGCAGGCTAGCTCCATTGCCTAGCTGGTATTGCTTTACCTGACAAAAAGATGACATAATCTCAACAAAAACGTGTTCAAAACTTTTACTCATTGTACTCACCATGCTTTCAATTGCCCATTCCTTCAGCCTTGAAAGTATGGGACTCTGACTTTCCCCCATTTTTGTATTATAATTCCTGTCAGTTTTTCCTCTGCCTAGTTTATCGCTTTGTCCCCCTGCTACTCTACTCCTCACACATTATGGGCAGCCTCCTTATTTGTCTCTCCTACTTCAGTTGTCTCTTCCTCAATCTATCTTAGATCAATTTTTCTAATAAACTCTCTGTAATTTTTGAAATTATGAATTATTTAGGTACTCAAAAAGTATACAGAATCATATGTTGACCACCCATATCCCCACCATCCAGCTGAAAAAAATGCAACATTAGAGATATATTTGGAAGCCTTCTTTGAATTCTCTCCCTAATCTCATTTCATTTTTTTCCCATCCCACTACTGTGAATTCAGTGATTTTTCTCATACATGGTTTTTATACTTTTACCATATATATCTGTATCCATAAAAATGTATACTATTTTTTCACTCCAATCATTTATTTCTGAAACGTCCATTTTTTTTTTTCATCATGGCTTTGAGATTTCTACTATTGTTTGGAGGTTTATCCATGTCAGTGCCTGTGACCGCGTTTCATTGCTATAGTCCTTTGGTTTCACACACTACACACTATCTGTTCTGCTAAGGGCATTAGGATTGTGGTGATATTTTATCCTCGAAAACAAACAAGTAAATAAACATTTTGAACATGCTCCCTTGTTCACATTTATGAGAGGTTCTTGAGGGCATATACCCAAGGTTCTGAACGCTGGGGAGGTAGGATCTGCTCATCTTCCAATTTATTGTTAAAAAATGGTGGTGTCATCTGATGCATTCTATTTACGTGCCATAGTCCATCTAAAAAAGGACTTCACTGACCTCTCCACAGACTTTCAATGGAACGTCAACCTCCTGAAAGAAGGAGCTCCTCCTCACAAGTGTGTCTGACGGAACCTCCCCCCAGGGACTGCTTTGTGTGAGGGGGTCACAAATTCAAAAGCTCTTGGACTCTGTGCTGAAATATAAACGTGTGCAGAATGCAGGGCATGGTGGGATCTGGGGTGGACGGCAGACATGCCATGTGTCAGGCGCCACATCCGACTCACTCACTGCCAGTGTATGGTCCCTGAGGTTCTTGTATGACCCAGGTTATTTTCTTGAGACTCCGGCTTAGAAGCGTGTGATCACCCAGTTAGTTCCCTGTGCAGCAGCAAAGACCAAGGACCCGGAACCAGCCTGCTGTGTTTGAATTCCTGCTCCACCGCGACTAGTTGTCTGTTCTTGAGCAAGTGCCATAACTTCCCTGTAGCTTGGTTTTCTTGCTTGTAAAACGGAGGGTATGCTTGTATTTATTTCATGAGGCTATGATGAGAACCAAATGAGATAGTATACATAAAGCCTTTAAGTAGGTGCTTAACATTTTTTTGTTGAATTGTTGAGGAGGGTAAAAATAACAAAAAGCTATACCTCCTGGCATTGTTTTAGGTACTGAGGATAGTAATGGCATGGACCTTACTATCAACCTCTTCATCCAATTAAGTTGCCAGCTAGGACCAAGCCCCTAGCACATTGTTTAGCTCACAGTAGGCACTCAAGAAATATATGTTGAATGAATCAGTGTGAACCTAACGATTCCCCTAAGGCAATGAAATGGCCATGATATGTTCTGGGCTATTGGAGCAAGTAAATTATATCCATGATAACTTTACTGTCTGCATGGAAGTAGATTCTTATTCTTTGAATATTGATTATCCCCGTATCATACGGGTAGTAGCTTGCCATTAGCCAAAATATTTGAGTAGTCAAAATACCATACTTTTTAAAGAGAATGAGTAAGAGATGTGACCATTTAAAAAAATTTCTTAATTGTATGCAAAATAGCATTCCCAACTTTTGATTATGACCAGGCTTTATTTATTTATTTATTTATTTTTCTGGACTTGTAGGTCTCATTGTTCATGAGGGAGCTGCAGTGTACAGAGTGTTTAAGCGCTGGCGAGCTGTTAACTTACACTGGGATGTATTAAATTACGACAAAGCCACAGACATCGAAGAAAGTAGCCGGGGACAGTCTTCCACGAGCAGGACTTTATGGCTGCCGCTGACGGCTCTGCGGAACAGGAACTTGGTCCACCCAACGCAGTTGACCTCCCCAAGGTTTCAGTGTGGGTACGTGTTATTACACCTGTTCAATCGGATGCGGCCCCATGAAGATCTGTCAGAAGAGAACAGCTCAGGGGAGGTTGTGATGAGAGTGACTTCCGTGTGAGAAAAGTATCTGATGGTGCAGTGCGGACCCTGCTGCATATGTTGGAATGTAATTGCAATGAACGGCAACACCATAACACATCTAAAAACACACATCTCTGAACTTTTTAAAATTTATGCTTTTTATATGAACATTTGAATTGCAAATACATTTTTCTGAAAAAAATAAAAGAGTCCTCTTGTTCTTTGCTTTCTGATGTATCACATATTTTCTAAGTTAGTACTTGAAATCATTTTACATATAATTTAAATCTACTTGGTTAAAGAAATGATGAAAGTTATCCTTAAGGCCAAAACTATTTTTTTCTCGCTTGTTTTAAATATATTTTTATCAAACTTTGTGCTCCATGTGTAATTTTTCAGACATTCCACGAATGGGGAAGAGTTTAGAATGTCTTTGGCAGGTTCCAAAGTGCCTGCCAACGGTGCAGCCTAGAGGTGCTTCCAAATGTTCCCAACCTGATGCCTCCTGCTAGTGGGCAAACTTGACCATGACTTTTGCTGAGATTAAATAACCTGTCACCCGGAATGCAAATTTTAGGAATTATGGCTTGTTTTCTAACTTCAGAAACAGTACCAAGAGCTTATAAAAGATAAGGGTGAGTGGAATAGAATCGTTTTACTCCAGTACATGTTACATGGGCAGGACATCCTACACACTTACAACCCTAAAAGGTCACCAAAATGTTGCCTCATTGAGCGTATAGTAGTAATGCTGCCTCACATTTGCATAAGCCTCTTGTAGACCTATCACAATTTTGGTTAATTATTAGTGTCTTGATTTTTATGAGTACCATCTTAGTTAGATTTTCTTTTTGCCAAAGCTTACATACCTACTTAATCATTTAAGCACTGATCCTATTACTTAGTTGAATGAAGTCCTGGGGAAATATATTCACCAGCAGTGAGAAGTGTTTCTCTTTCATTAGATAAGTACTTTTTAAATGAAAAGAGGAAAAGAAAAATGAGGCTATTGACTCCCCAGGAACAGGTTGCTAACTAGTGGTACCTGGAGATTTTCCACCTTTTTATCTTTCTAATGGAGGTAGATGGCACATTTTAATGGAATGACAATAGATGAGGAGGCAGGTGGTCCTGCTTTCTTTAGAAACATGAGTCAAACATACAGGTCACTTGAAGTAATTGATCACATGAAATAAAATGCTTTGTAGTCTACGTTCTAAAAATAACCTTTCAATGATTAAGAATAGTGAATGTTTTCAGGTAGCATTGTGGTTCCTAAATAGGAAATTCTACCAACACTTGAAATAATACTTTTCCAGTTAAAAAACTGTGTCACAAATGAGTTAAGGATGTGACAATTTGAAGAAATGTGAATGAATCAGCCAATCAGGAAGCAAGGAAAGTTCAGCAACCACTTAAGGGCAAATCTAGGAAGTGAGAGTGTTAAACGTTCTTACTCCAAACATTGTTTGTTTTAATCTGACGTTGCAGGAGCACAGCCCTGGATGTGGCACTGAGAGGTCCAAGACAGTCTTCTGAGGCTGGTCGCAGTCTCTCAGAGTCTTGTCACCTGGAACAGGGAGGCAGATTATTTAACAGACACGAGGGATGCAAATCTGCTGTGAAAGCAACAGTCCATTACTTGTACCCCCAAGGTGTTAATATTTGTCTTGGGCAGTTTAATCACTCATAACACCACATTTCGTACAGAATAATTGTGGGTACTGTTGTTTAGAGCATTGTATTAAAAATGATAGAGATTTTAGATGCAGATTAGACTATCACTGCTCCAGTGTATTTAGCAAACTCACCTTTTTAATTAGTGTACAGTTTGTTTTCAGATCAACTTACTGGAAAACAAAAGGCAGTGGGTGAGAGCCTCTGTACCATCTGTGTGGGGTAGAGATGCCTTTTGTCTACATCTGTTATTTCCCCTCACTGTCATTACAGCCGCCGCCTCCTAACACACTCACACCTTCATTTGACCTGAATCAATGGTGGAGTAAGGATCTGGCAGCATTTCCACTCAACAAAACATACCACCCTTAAAATGATTGCAGAAAAACTCATACATTCTGAGTGTGTGTGTGTGTGTGTGTGTGTGTGTGTGGTATATTTCGAGAATTAAATGCACTGCTTAAAAATTTAATATGCAATATGAGTTATGACATAAATAACTTTGAATTGTCAATGCTGTAATTCCAACTTGGGCTGCCTT